GTGTGAATGACATTAGTTACTGTCTGTGTGAATGACATTAGTTACTGTCTGTGTGAATGACATTAGTTACTGTCTGTGTGAATGACATTAGTTACTGTCTGTGTGAATGACATTAGTTACTGTCTGTGTGAATGACATTAGTTACTGTCTGTGTGAATGACATTAGTTACTGTCTGTGTGAATGACATTAGTTACTGTCTCTTTGAATGCCATTAGTTACTGTCTGTGTGAATGACATCAGTTACTCTCTGTTTGAATGACATTAGTTACTGTCTGTGTGAATGACATTAGTTACTGTCTGTGTGAATGACATTATTTACTGTCTGTTTGAATGACATTAGTTACTGTCTGTGTCAATGACATTAGTTACTCTCTGTTTGAATGACATCAGTTACTCTCTGTGTGAATGACATCTCTGTGTGAATGACATTAGTTACTCTCTGTGTGAATGACATTTGTTTCTGTGTGAATGACATTAGTTACTCTCTGTGTGAATGACATTAGTTACTGTCTGTGTGAATGACATTAGTTACTCTCTGTGTGAATGACATTTGTTTCTGTGTGAATGACATTAGTTACTCTCTGTGTGAATGACATTAGTTACTGTCTGTGTGAATGACATTAGTTACTCTCTGTTTGAATGACATTAGTTACTGTCTGTGTGAATGACATCAGTTACTGTCTGTGTGAATGACATTTGTTTCTGTGTGAATGACATTAGTTACTGTCTGTGTGAATGACATTAGTTACTGTCTTTGTGAATGACATTAGTTACTGTCTGTGTGAATGACATTAGTTACTCTCTGTTCGAATGACAGTAGCTACTGTCTGTGTGAATGACATTAGTTACTGTCTGTGTGAATGACATCAGTTACTGTCTGTGTGAATGACATTAGTTACTGTCTGTGTGAATGACATTAGTTACTGTCTGTGTGAATGACATTAGTTACTGTCTGTGTGAATGACATCAGTTACTCTCTGTTTGAATGACATTAGTTACTGTCTGTGTGAATGACATCAGTTACTGTCTGTGTGAATGACATTTGTTTCTGTGTGAATGGCATTAGTTACTGTCTGTGTGAATGACATTAGTTACTGTCTTTGTGAATGACGTTAGTTACTGTCTGTGTGAATGACATTAGTTACTCTCTGTTTGAATGACAGTAGCTACTGTCTGTGTGAATGACATTAGTTACTGTCTGTGTGAATGACATCAGTTACTGTCTGAGTGAATGACACTAGTTACTGTCTGTGTGAATGACATTAGTTACTGTCTGTTAGACATTAGTTACTGTCTGTGTGAATGACTTTAGTTACTGTCTGTGTGAATGACATTTGTTTCTGTGTGAATGACATTAGTTACTGTCTGTGTGAATGACATTAGTTACTGTCTTTGTGAATGACATTAGTTACTGTCTGTGTGAATGACATTAGTTACTCTCTGTTCGAATGACAGTAGCTACTGTCTGTGTAAATGACATTAGTTACTGTCTGTGTGAATGACATCAGTTACTGTCTGTGTGAATGACATTAGTTACTGTCTGTGTGAATGACATCAGTTACTGTCTGTGTGAATGACATTAGTTACTGTCTGTGTGAATGACATAAGTTACTGTCTGTGTGAATGACATTAGTTACTGTCTGTGTGAATGACATCAGTTACTCTCTGTTTGAATGACATTAGTTACTGTCTGTGTGAATGACATCAGTTACTGTCTGTGTGAATGACATTAGTTACTCTCTGTGTGAATGACATTAGTTACTGTCTGTGTGAATGACATCAGTTACTGTCTGTGTGAATGACATCACTTACTGTCTGTGTGAATGACATCAGTTACTGTCTGTGTGAATGACATCAGTTACTGTCTGTGTGAATGACATCAGTTACTGTCTGTGTGAATGACATCAGTTACTGTCTGTGTGAATGACATTAGTTACCCGGACAATTACCCATTGTAACCCATCAGAGTCAGACGACCATCAAAATTCATTAAAACACGTGAGTTAATTAACACCAGTCTGTAATCAGATTTTTAATTAACCTGAATATCAAAATGTAATTCAAAACTCTAATTGGCATCCCAATTATTTATTTGTTTACTTCTC